TCACTGCCATACGATGATGTCGATCTCTCTAAGCAAATCCAGAAGAACATGTCAAGATCACAGTCTTGTGATGGTTGCGTGCAGGCGATGTGCTTCCCTAGTATGGGCTGGTAGCCCTCGCTACCCCTGCAAACGTGGCCCATGAGCTCGTTCTTCCAGTCGTTTCCCATTCCCACTGAGCAAAAATGGACCCTAAATCACGCATGGGGTTGCCTTTCGGTCTTTAGAGCCACGTTCTCAGGCTTGATGTTGTGTGAAGCCCCTTTTGTAGCTCAAGGCTTGGAAAACTTCATGCAGGGATGCTCCGATCACCTGCCAGTGGGAGGCCCCGGAGCTGAGACCTCAATGCCTTCGCAGTATGTGTACATTTGGACAATGCCAGCGCAGCAGCGTAGACGTAGAGGCGAGCAAGGGAATGTGAAGGGAGCGGTTGTTTGGATCTTTCAACACAATCTTCCCATATTCGATATGCATTCGTCCAGCAACAAGTCAGAGCAGGGCCAGGCTTTGCGACGATTGCGCCCACACAATTACAGCTCATGGGAGGCATCCTGCTTGTTTGTGGGCCTTTCTTCAACAACGGTGAGGCATGGCACCTCGCGAGAAGTTGTGTGCTTCAGTTAGGAGTCCACAGACGATGTTGCGTGCGTATGTGCCAGGATGAAAGTCCTCGTTGGCATGCCCACACTAAGGATCCCAGCATGTTCTGGAGTGCGCTTGGGGATCTGGATGTGGCAGGGTTGTAGGATTCAAGATGTGGGCGTGTGGTGTGGCTGAAAGCAAAATGTCCAGCTGAAGTTAAGCGGTTCATATTTCGAGCACATGTGCTGGTTCGTTAAAGTTCTGGGTCGATTGCAATCCTTAGGAAGTCATGGAGCAATTCAACCCCACGAGGAATTGCAACGACTTGTTCATAAGATCCCACATCATGCCATTGCGTGCCTCCCATGAACGGGAGTTTCTCAATTCAATTTCTCACTAGGGTCCTGAAAGGCACCTCTAACACCTATTCTTCGCAGGCTGCGGAGACGCTGCTTGTTTACGACGCGGCCCTGCGCGCTTTCGTGGCGGGCTCCGACAGGACGCTGGGTTTTAGAACTTGAGGCTGCCAATGAAGACATTGCGATGGGGTATTATGGAGTCTTCCAAAGCTTTCAGGGGGGGTTCTCATCAGCATTCTGACAGGGTGGTGCGTGCAAGCCATTCTAGGCTTGAGCATGGAGCGTTTCCTGCGCAATGCTTTGTCCGACGCAGCCCCCGATCCAACAGCCTTAGTATTTGTCATGGCGGTTTTTTGCACACACTGCGCAAGGAAGCTGCAGTGGGGCCAGCCTGGCACAGTCTTGTTCCTCCAGCCTGAGTCTTTCTCAAACTTAAGGTCGCCCGCGAGACAGTAGAATGCCCTTGATATCGAACGCTGCCACAAGCAAGACATCTGGTTTTGCGGGTTGTTTTCAGCAACCCAGATCTCTGAGTGCAGCGGACTTGGCAATTTGCATGGCCTAGGCACCTGAACAGTTTGACTGACGGGTTAAGCAGATTAGACGTGATCTTGTGATGATCGGTTACGTCCGGATTAGCCAAGGCTGGTTTGATGTATTGCGTCTTTATTGTCAGGCTCCTATGGTCCTGTTGGGATGTGTCATGTCAGAGCACCCAATCTTGCCAAGGAGCTACGAGGGGCCGTACTGGGTCTGTTGCCAACTCGACTCAACTGCCATTGTTTTGTGGTTGTTATGAAGTTCTGAGTTCAGTCTTACCTTTCGCCAGGTTGTCATGACGTGGCGCACCTGAAGACCCTCGGCACCCAGGCCCACGTCCTCACAAGCGAGAGGGATGTAGCTAATCATGTCAGTTCGGTGGAATTCTTTTGGAAGAGGATGCCTGCTAGCATGTTTGATGTTGACACCGACAGATGCTCATCATGATACTGTACTCGTCGAACCTCACGGTAGAAGTGGTATTGGTTTTTGGCAGTTGTGTTGTGAAATAGTTCCAAGTAGCAGAAATTGAAATAGTAAACGTTGAGGCAGTGGACGACGAAACTGATGTGGAAGCAGATTGGAGCATTGCTGTTGAGGATGAATTCTGGATAGTTGACTCGGGAGTTCAGGATTGAAGGCTGTGAGAGTGCTGGCTAAGGCGTGATTGAACTTCCTGCAGCGACAAAACTGAAAACAGCAACGGTTCTGTGGTCTTGGGTAGCAGAGCTGCGTGCCGCTATGAGATTTGATCCAAATGTTTGGTAGTCCTGACGCGACAATGCCGCCGACCTTGCTCAACACCTGAGGTCGGGCTAAGCTTTGCTGCTCAAGCTGAGACGGATGGTGCCATCCCCTCAGATGCGGCATTTTTCTGGTGTGAAGGTTTTTGTGATTGCTCCCGAGTTGCTCGGGTCTCTTTGGTGATGGTGGTGGCGGCGGCGGTGATGGTGGTGTTGCTGGTTGTCGTGAGACGGGTGTTTGGAATCGTGGTGGGGGGTGGCAGCACAAATATCAGCATCTGGATAATGACGTATTCTGATGATGATGTATAAATGTGCTGATGAATACTGACTTGTTTCAAGCAGCATATTCTCAGAATGACCCGCCACATGAAGCTGCATGCCTTTGATTAAGGTCGGCGGGCACAGCTGGATCTTATTGGTTTTCTGCAAAGAAAGACGCTGCTGCCTCAGAGAGCAAAGACAATCTTCTGTTTTGAGCTTCATGTGGTCAGGTAAACTAGCGTGGTGTAGCAGCTAGCAAGATAAGCTGCTTTCTACACTATCCTCCTATATCCCTCATATCATCCCAGCAGAACCTATGGCCCTGCCTGTCCTTGTGTGAGGCGTTTTGCTTGAAGGCTCAAGACGCCGCTCCTCCACAGCCGCATCCTTGGAGCAAAAGGATGGCACAGGGGTGCAAGCATTAGAGAGTTCGCAATGCTGAGCATTGACGGATTCTTGCTTTGATTGTCATTTTATGATGCTTTCCACAAGCTTGACTCATCATTGCCTTGAGACACCCAGCGTAGCTGTGCGGCGTTTGACTCGCTGGTGAGGTGCAGTCCAGCCTGTTCAATACCGGGTGATGATGCTCGTGCCGCAACATTGGGCAGAGGCTGGTCCTGTGACATATGCTGCTCGAAGGTCATTTTGAGATCGTGCGAAGAGTGGTACAAGTACTATTTGTAACACAGCCTAGATGAAAGCCAGGCAATAGAGGGCAGAATCAGAGTTGAAAGAAGAACTGTAAAAGTAGGCGCCAAATTATGCTCGTCGTTGCTGCTGTGGTATTGCAATCGCTTTGTCAATGCCAGGCATGACGAAGCCTGTGTAAATAGATTTGGCCCGATGATGGCAGAATATGCCATCGCGGGCTCCCAAGACTACTCCTTGCCATTCCTTGCCAACCATGCCGTCCAACAGCACGATATTTGTGTGATACAACCAAGCTTCTTCAGAGTCCGAAGTTGTTGATGGCAAGCGAGTCTTGCTCGTTCTTGCCGTTGCGGAGGGCGCCGTCTGACTCTTCTTGCCGCACACAGCTTCCAACCATTGTCTGCTGGACGCCCCTCTGCAGCGCAGTGCTAATGAGAACCCAGGCTTGAGCCTGGAGCTGCTTTTAGCAAGCCACTGCCGCTAACACAGCGGAGGGTGAGATAATGCAAAAACTGTGCCAGCCGCATGGGGATGTCAATCACTTTTATACAGAGAACATCCGGTAGTTTCTCGTTAAAAGGACGTCCTTTTGCACGCGAGAGGCTGCTTGAGTGGACAAAACAGACCTATCATAGCAGCTTGCACGTCCGCCCCGGCAACATCTGCCAACCTTGTACATGATTTATAGAAAAGATCAGGCCGGAAAAGGAACGTCCAATTTGAATTTGAGCCACATCTAGTAAGGGATCCAACATTCCTAATTTTTCATTGATTTAAACTGGATTTTACGCAGGAAAGGGCTCCGAAGCTCATGACCTTGAAAAAAAACAGTTCCTCTCGGGGTTTTCTAGCAATTCCTCAGGCAAAGACCGCAAAGGGTGGCTCATGGTATTGAATTCTAATAAACAAATCAAACTCCAGAATCACTATAGTAGTTTCCACTTTCTTTTCCATTATCCCTATATAACCCCAACATATACCCTTAAATAAAGCACCATAATACTTTCCTGTTTTATTCTCATGTTAAGAGCAGCTTTGCCAAGCAACTCAGGTTTTTCCAAATCAGCTCTCCTTTTTTGCTTTAAGTAGTGGTCTATTCATTTCAATTTATTCGGTGTTTATACAAAACTGTGGAACTAATGATGTTGAAGCAATTTGCTACTATGGTTCACTACAGTCCCCAATGTACAGTAAGATTCTATCTTCCTTTTGTGTACAGTATTTTCTACAAACAATATGATCTTACTGGGTTCAACCAGCAAAAAGAGCGTTACTCACCTGGGCCTTTGGAAGGTTCAAGGCCTCTTGAATCGCAGCTCTGCATTTGATCAAAACTCATTTCTGCTTGTTCAGGCTATGTTGCTGATAGAAGCAGGTTTTACTTAACCACATGTATGCACCGTCAGAGCTGTTTATGCCGAAAAGCGACCTGTTGCAAACAATTCGAGTCGATCCCAAAGCAAAGCAGGATCATGATGGACGTACACTTTGCGCGGAGCGTTGTTTGAGTGTTGCTTGTGAGCATTTTGCAGGAACTCCCCATCCTTGTGTTCTTTGGGACCTTTACCGCATGACAGCCTACTGCAGCCAGTGGCCACGCTGAGTTTCATCAACATGTGTTGCTGGGGCCTTTGCCTGCACTTGGCTCACAGGGGAATTGTGCATTTCTTTGTTTTGGAGTTTTTTTTGATGCCGCTGTATTCCAGACATGTACGGATTGCGGGGCATGCAGAGTTCTGAGCCTATCTATTTCAAAGCCATGCGTAAAACCAGATGTCGACGGACTTGAAGACCTGACCGGTCAAATGTGCCGTTTGTTCTCGGAACGAATTCCGCCAAGCCTCTGATGTAGATTGCCATGGCTTGGGTAACCAAAAGTGAGCGGCCGGAAGCTCGTGCATCCGCAGGTGTGGCATAGTGGTTTGCCCTTTGGCTGCCCCTACTGGGTTGCTGTTAAGGAACTTAAATTAAGTTACCATAATGCGTATATATATATATATTAAATAATAGGGTTTCCCCAAAATAGTATCTTAGTTTAAGTTCCTTAACAGCAACCCAGCCTAACCAGGTTCAATTGGGAGAGAGCCAAGCTGGTCGAAGACCCGAAGGACCAAGTCGGCCCAGCACTCGGCTGTATCCTGCTTGCTATGCCTTGAGATCCAAGTAATAGTAATAATAGTAATAATAGTAATAATAGTAATAATAGTAATAATAATAATGATTATAATAGTAACAGTATATTACCTCCTGCAATGGGTTTCAGATTTTGGTGCCAGGTGTGTTGCAATTTCAGTTGTCGGGACGCTCTTGCCTCTTTGTCTCACTGACTGCGTACGGTGTTGAAGTCATCAACGGGTAAATCAGCCACCTTTGACAAATAAAACACCTTGAGGCATCCCTGAGGCTTACTCATGCACCAAGAACTCCAGAGACCTTGCAGGGCTCCCATGTAACAGTGGTGACTTTTGAGAGACTGCAGGTCCTGGACAGTATCCTGCGCCGACATCCTTCAAGGAGGTATCACACATCACCGCTTACCAGAACTCAGCACAGCAAGCTGATGCCATAGTCCTTTCCTGGAAAAGTGGTTGTCACAGGCTGCGAAGCCTTCCTATGCACCGTTCAACTCTTCGGGCAGTGATGCCCAGGCGCGCACAGCGTAAGGCATGCAACTGCTGTAGCTTACTCCAGCCTACTCATGTCAAACAATTGGTGTGCTTTGTGACGCTGCGGGTACTTCTCGGAGTTCCGTGCTGCCCAAATTGGATTTGCTTTCCACGCTCATTGCGCTGCAATGATGCGGCTCAAGTACCTCATAGCAAAACACAACGTCCCTGACAGGACTTTTATGATCTTCAGGATCTCTCAAGTCCGCACCGCTCAGCCATGACGCTGTCTTCCCAGATTCTGGTCCTGAAGGTGGGCACCTCCACCATCATGCGGTCCGATGAGCGCGGCCAGCGTGTTAACGTGGCAAATTTGTCGCGCCTTGTAGAAGTCATCAGTGACCTGGGCCACCAAGGCTATAAGGTTGTCCTTGTCAGCTCTGGAGCCGTAGGGATGGGCTGCAGAGAGCTGGGATTGGCCAAGAAGCCCACGGACCCACAGATGAAGCGTGCAGTGGCCGGTGTAGGTCAGAGCAGGATCATGCGGATGTACTCCGAGCTCTTTGAGACCGTTGGGCTCAAAATTGCACAGCTCCTGGTAAGTCAGCGGGACTTCTTGGAGCAGCAGCGTTGGGCAGAGATCCGGGATACCATTGCAGCCTGCCTCGATGCCGGAGTTGTCCCCATCATCAACGAGAGCCTTGGGCAAAGTCTTTTAGAGCAGCTTGAGTTGCATGCGCATACAACGACAACGACAACGATATACACCGGCACCAGCAGCAGCGGCGAGGGAAGAAGAAGCAGCAGCGCCGGCGGCGGCGGCAGCAGCAGCAGCAGCCGCCATAACTACTTCAATGACGCTGACACATTCTGACTATTGAAAAACCAAAACACCAGTACCGGCAACAACAGCAGCCACCACAAACAAGCGCTGGCCGCGCCAGCGGCAATATCACTGACATTTCAACACAGTGATGCTGCGGCCACAGTTGATCAAAGTACTGACATTTTTCGACTTAGGAACGATACCACCGTTTAATCTGGTAGAAGATAGTATCATATCATAATATAATACAATATAGCATTTTATAGAACATTAGGTTCTATATTCGCGGTCCCTCTACTGAAGGAATGATACCACCAACACTGACGGAGTCCGCTTCGGCGACAACGACAATCTGGCAGCCCTTACGGCTTCGAAGCTGCATGGGCACTACTACATTATGTTAGGGCATATATATGTATATATATATATTTGTATATTTATGGGATATACATATATATATGTATCTATAAAGGTTGTGTAGTAACAATGGAAAGAAAATGGAAACCACTACATTATACTAGGGTATATATTTTTCGAGTTGTGGAAAGGATCCTTCTCCTTGAGCCCTACTTCTGATCAACTCACTAGATTGTGAGTAGTTCAAGCACTAGTAACAATAATAACAATACCAATAATAGTAATAACAATAATAATAGTAGTAGTACTAGTAATCATATCTGCACTTTTATGTCTCAGAGCCTTTTGAGGTGAAGTTGGTGGGTTGGGGCTATTAGAACTCACACATTGTGTGGGGTTATAAGGGTTCTGTAGGGATAATGGAAAAGAAGATGGAAACTACTATTTAGGGCTTAGGGGTTTAGGGTATCATGGGGTTCCGAGGCCGAAGCTACCATTTTCGGGATGTTTGTGCCTATGCTTTGGCTGCTTCTGTGTAGAGGCAGCGCGCCGAACGCCAGACTTGCTCGGATCGTGGGGAATTTCTTGCTCCATGCTAGGTTCCTTTCCGGTTCGCAACAAGAGACCTCAGCATGATCTTTGAGAAATCATTCACGGTAAAGGAGTGAAAGTTAAAGAGGCAATTGTTGTCAGCTGCGCATGAGGAGCAGTCATTGCAGAGCAGCTTGGAGTAGTCTAACCCAAACGGTACTCGTAGCAATTTGGACTTCCACAGGAATCTCTGTGCTTCGATGGAGTTCGAAGCCCGGCCAACCAAAGAAGTCTGCTTTGAGCCCTCGGACCTTCCAAGGCTGTGCAGCTGGAGGCGGATGGGGTCTTTTTGTTTACGGATGTGGACTACCTTTACACAGCCTGCCGGCGGAAATAAAGATCTGAAGCAATCTCTTGCCGTTTGCATTCGTCCGAACAAGCTGGAAACTTTCAGTCACCATCGCTTTCGGAGGCTTTAGATGTAATCCGTATATAACCCCATATAATCCCTATATAATCCCTATATACTGCATAATATTCCCTGAGTCTGTGGTACCGCCGTGATTGACGCTGCCAAGGCCAATCCAAACGTGGATCCCTCAGCAGAGCCCATGCGTGTGGTCAACGAGGCAAGCAAAAGGGCTCATAGGTTGTGACAGGATCTGGGGTTTAGGCTTTAGTGTTTAGGGTTTAGGGAAACAACAACCCAAGATATAACCAGGCAATCTTCTACAGCTCCTTGTAGTTATCGCAGTATACCTAAGCTGGATGGGGTCAGGTCTGTAACCAAAGCGGATCCTTGCTCTTTTGGGCTTTTGAGATACGAAAGCTATTTGAGGGTGCCATGTTCGAAGAGAAGAGAACCATGATCTCCAGAACTGCCTTACAAAGGGTGGTTAGTAGGGAATAAGGGAATATATTATATGGGAATTATCTGGGGATTTTACAGGGATACGCTGAAGGCCAGGTTCCACACTGAGGGTGCACAATGTAAGTATGCCACTCGTCGTCGTTCTTCAATAGTTTCCTTGATGTTTCAAGCATGGCGACTGACTGGCTTGAGGAAGAGCCAGGGAAAGCTAGAGAGAGAGAGAGATGTGAAGTTGACCAATCCAAAGCCATGCTTAACTGCGACGAGTTTCCAGGGCAGTTCTTGTGGTGCGCACACTTAACATCTCGACCCGTCGCCATCGCCATGGAGTTTTACCTGTAGCTTGTGTGCTTGCAGCATCGCGACTGAAGCATTTTTTCCACGCACCCGTACCGCAAGACCTTAAACCCAGTCTCCAAGCCCGTAGGCCAAATCCTCCATATTGATAGCAGAAAAAGCTAGAAGGGTTACAACACCGCTTGCAAGCAACAACGAGGCTAAGCGCCCCTTACCTCTAGTTGCTACAGCGGAGCTACAACCCTCACGTCTCCCAGAACATATGCTGAGAAAGCACCATCAGTTGTAGTTTCCCTACATAGGGAGATCCCACGATACACCGCCAAATATTATAAGTCTTGTCATTGGAACCTCTAAAATGGTACGGGAAACCTTAATCTCTGGAAATGCTTAGAAACTCCTACATAGTTCCAGTTTCTATAAGATAATTTCATTTCCATTTCTTTTCCATTTGATTGTCCATTTTTGGGGTAGTATCCCTATACAACAACTATACCCTACATATCTCCTGTATAACCCGTGTGTGTTAGGGCAATGAGTGGACTTTCGCCCGAGAGGCTTTTGAGCTGAATGTGGACACCCGGGAGCCTGGCACGTCGCTTGGCACTGGGGGGATGTCCACGAAGGCAGGTTCAGGGTTTAGGATCTAGCATCTGGGTTTTGGGATTTCGGGTTTAGGGTTTAGGATTTTGGGATTTGGGATTTGAGGTTAAGGGTTTAGGCCTTCGGGTTTAGGGTTTACGTTTAGGGCTTCGGGGTGGAGTGGGCTTAATTAATCCCCATGGTTTCCGCTCATGTCATTGTCCAAAAAGGGCTGCTTAAGGCAAGCGTTGTAGGCACACTGAAGGCTGATGCAGGATTTCAGGAAGTGGTGGGATCATGGAGGGATTTTTTTTTTTCGAAGTAGCTGGTTTTGGTGTGAAGAGGGTGCAGATTGACGGATGTCCTTGCAATTGTGATCGTGTGACTTGGGGAGATAGTGGAGTTTCTTAAAGTAATCCTGATGAAGCAGTTCCAGGATCCTCTTATCATACCTTCTATCCTCATGGCCCCGTAGAGTCCTCCATTTTTTGCGAACCCCTGCATGCTCAATGGCGCCAACATGCGCGACACCACTGCTTACTTGCACGTGCACTCGCTGTTATTGTCAAGCTGTGTTAGCTATCGTTACTATTTGGGGATTGGATAATCCCTACATAGTCCCTACAGAATATAATCCCTTTGCCCTACAAGCCCCCAGTAAGATTAGCTGGTCATCATCACTCGGGTTATCCGTGTGTATCTTGGTTGGGAGGTGGCAGCAGCCCGGACGGCCCATTGTGCCGGCATCCCTTGCGGTATCCTGCACGGGAAGCACCCGGAGCGCATCTTCAGCTTCCTCGCACATGATGAGACAGTCCTCCTGCTGCAGCAAGCTCACTCATAATTTCAAAGCTGTTCCTACCTTGACCAGGGGCTTCAATCAGAGGTTTCTGCTGCATGTAGCAATGTAGTGTTCTCGGTTTGGAGCCGAGGCTTCCACGCACAGTGGCCGCAGCCCGCTGGAGTGCGAGACTCCGAGTGAGCTGACGGAGCCTGAGCCGGAGGGCACCCTCTTCACGGCCGAAGATGGCGAGCAACTGACAGAGGCAGAGAGGTGGATCCTGAGCTTGCCTGTGGTGGGCGACGTAGACCTACCCACTGAGCTCAAGTCTGTGGACTTGCGAGACTTCATCCTGGACGCTGTAGCTGGTGAGCTTAGCAAGATGAAGAGTTTGTCAAGGACTGCCCATCATGGTGCCGTCAGGGTCTTCCACCACAACATCGAGATTGCAAGGACCCGGGTCAGTTTTGACGAGGAAGGTGCGTGCAGCCTTCGAAGCTTGATGCCTGAAGAGAGTGTGGTCCTAACCCCTGTGGCAGAACATCACCATTCTGTGTAAGGTGTACCAAATGCCAGAAGTTGCTGAGATTAGGGCTGACGTGGAGGCGGACATCCCCACCTCCATCAGCCTCCAGTGTCACCGATGCTGGAACATCCCTCTTGCCTACAACGGGCACTAATCCGGTTTTATGTACAGTGCGTAGCGCACCCGAGGTTGACAGGAAAGGCAGCCTCTGCGGTGCGGACAGGGATGCATGTAACTGCACACCCATCAATCCCCTTCTTGTACAGATATGAGTGTGGAGAACGTGCAGCCTGCAGCTGCCAGAAACCACTGGCAGCTTGCAAGACCTGGTATGGTTCAATATTGAGATGCATAATACATTTGCATTTGCATGAGCAGCCCTGGGATTCTACAGGGCTTGAACAGTTGACTGCCCTTAGAAGGGCGGAGGCTGGAGGAAAAAGGTGCTGTGGAGCTCCTGGAACCATGAGTGCAAAAGTCCGCATCATGTTAAACTTGTGAACCTCCGGGCGTGCAGGGGTTGTTTGAAGGGAAGAAGGACACGTCGTTGCGGCCCCAGACTGCGAGCTGATCAGCTCATCTTGCCAGCGCAATCACAGATATCTCTTATAGTCCTGGAGCATAAATTGGGGGTCCGAGCAGCTTGTTTCTTCAGAATCTTGCGTTGAGCTAAGCCTCGGAATCGATCCTGGCCGGTACAACCCCAAGATCCCACAAGGCCTGGCTCTTGGCTCACGCAGAGACTTCCACCTGTGACCTCATGTGAGCCCGCTGCAGCCTACGACCACGGTTTGCCGAAGAAGCACGTGCCTTTCACTTGCGGGTCCACCCGCTTTGACCACGGGGGCAAGAAGGCGAGATCAAGCACTGTCAGAAAAGCGGTCATCGCGATACTGCTTGTCTTATCCTCGCTCTCCTTCTTGACGTTACCATGAGGAGTATGAAGTCAAGTACTTTGCTGTTGTTGTCGTTACGGAGCAGAGGATTACCGGCCTGGCCCCGGTGACTACAACGCGGCGAAACAGACGCTGGCGGGCGCCCTGACCGTGTCCGCGGCGAAGACGATGGGGGTAGCGCCCGCCGGGCGCTAGGATTCATGTGCTTGCTTGTCCAAATGTAGTTGAACTAGAGGACGCGATGGAGGAGGACATGCAAAATCAGTGATTGTCGTGTCTCCGGATTCTTCACATTTATGTTGAAAAAGGTTTCGTGGTCATATGGTCCCTTCTCCACCATGCATGCTGAGGCAGAGCAGCGCTTGCTCTTCAAGTCCACAAGGCAAGGTCGGGGGCTGCACTGAGGAGGGGGAGGGGTGCTGGGGGAGTATGAAGGAAGCAACGGAAGTTAGGCCTGAAAGGATGAGCTGAGGGTAACCACTTTTCGTTTCATGATGCATGTCGGAAGTGGGCAACTTTGCATAAGGCTAGGACGTCAAGATCTTGTGCTCATCTGTTACGGCTTTGGTGATGAGATTGTCAACATGCTTATGTTTGTGAAGTTGTTTGATTGATGTTGGTGGTTGGTCTTGATGCTTTCAGCTTATTTCCTTCTTCACTTCAATTGCTGTTATTGTGCTAGTGCGGTTATAACCTGTTGTCTCTGGCCAGTGCGCCCTCCATCCCGCGCGATCATCAGTGCTTCGGCTACGACGAGGCCCAGGGCTACCCCTTGCACATGCCACGGCCAGATGGCGTAGGGTCCGCTAACATGGTGCTGACTGAAGAACGGCCTTGTACGTCCTGTCATGGCGACACTGAACATGATCCCAATGTGCGCTGATGGTTGAACTTGTGAAAGGCTGTGTTCTGGATTGCTAGAGCTTTGGAACCCGTTCGAGGGTCTGAAAGTTGAAATTGAGACCGTTTGAGCAGCTGCTCGATATGAAGATCCCCATCATTGTACGGCCGAAGAGGAGGAGCTACTGTAGTTTTGCCAAGAGCCTCCAGGCACGTGTCCGGATTCAAACAGCTCCAAAAACATCTGCCAAAATCCTGAGCCCACTCCAGGCCCTAAGTGTCCAGCGCTTTTCAGCTCGAACCCTACTTGGGCAATTTTCGGCTTTTCTTCCAAAACAGCCCATTATAGTAGTTTCCGTTTTCTTTTTTCCATTATCCTCACCTAGCCCATATAAAATCCCAACATATACCCTAGTATGATATAGTAGTAGTTTCCATTTTCTTCTCCATTATCCCAATATAACCCCAATATATATACCCTATTATAATCCCTATATAACCCCATTGTAGTAGTTTCCATTTTCTTCTCCATTATCCCAATAATATTATCAGAGGCTGGGGACGGCCGGCTGGTCCGCCAGGGCCGCAAGGATGGTATCCAGGAGCTGTCAGGCGCGGGTGACCCAACTATGGGGCTCTACAGGGTTTTATAGGGGGCTTATAGGGTTTTATAGACTCTTATAGGATTTTATGGGGTTTAGGGCTTAGGGTTAACGTAATATTGGGATGATACCCCAATGATGGAGAATCAAATGGAAAAGAAAATGGACAATGACATGGAAACTGCGATTATTATGGGTTTGAGTTCTATTGGGGTTATATTGGGGTCACGGAAAAGAAAATGGCAACAACTATAATCATAAGGTATAGATAGGGGTTCCCAAAGCATTAGGGAGCTCTAGGGGTGAAGTTGGACTACTGGCTTGTAATGGAAAAGAACATGGAAACCACAGGGATTATAGGGCTTATATAGGGGTTGTATAGGGGTTATAAGGTTCTGAGTTTGGGGGCCTTCCGGGCATATCTTGAGGGATTGTGGGTACTTAGGGTGCAGCTTTTTGGAGCTCAAAGGGGGATCCCGCAAGAGAATTCCCGCAACGTGTGGGAGAAGGTCCCATCACAGTGCCCATAAACCCAATGTCAACAATCCACTGACAAGAATGAGACATGTGACGCCTGAGAAGATTGCAATTAGCCGCATTCAGTATCAACACTTTCCATCCTGGCAGTTTCTTTCCGCTTGGCTCCCACAGCTGTGCTCCAGCTTCTGAATTGTGATGCAGCTGCCTTGACATGCTTGGTACTACACCTGGAGACGCGCAGACCTCTGTCTGCTAGGGACGCACATTAGGAACAAAAGTCACTCGTCTCGCTTCACGTCCCATTGATGCGAATCTGGCTTTGCAGCCGAACGCGCGAATACCGACGAGTTGCGGCAACGGTGGTGCTGCCGGGGCAGTGGGTTGTAGAGCTGGGCTGCCACGAGGGCGTCACCACATCTTTGCTTTCAAAACGACGTCCAGGGTTTGTTTTGGGTGTGGATCGGAGCGCGCACGCCGTGCGAACGGCGACCGGCCGCTTTCCACAACTTCACTTTGGTGTTGCAGACGCGCTCGACAGCCAGCTGCATGAACTTCGGGAGAACTTGCAGAATCGTGGGGCCACGCTTGCTGATGTGAAGGCCTGCTTCCTGGACCTTGGAGGCGATGCTCGGCTAAGCACCGTCCTTCATGCACTGGCGAATTTGCATTGCTTGCCACATTTGGAGCTGTTGGTGGCGAAAAGTGAAGAGCTGGTGCGGCTCAAGAAGCAAAGCGAGATGCTCGTGCAAGCAGATGTGGGTGGCCTTTGCTGTGGAGCAGAAAAGGTAGAATGATGCGCGTGTCCGTGCAAAAAACCAGTCGCAAAGCACAAGTCTAGCACTTATTTGAGGCCTCGCCCAAGAAGGTCTTTTTTTGTTTTGGTCGGCGGTGTTTCTCCTGGGTTGTAATGAAAGAACCAATGGGATCTAGACCTTGGTCTTGGAGTAGGAGGAGGAAGTAGCAGTGCTAAACTAGGAGCAATGAGGAGGAGTTGGATTGCAAGTTTGCAGTGATGAACGGCAATTTTTGTAGCTTCTGGAGGGTCTTAGTGTTCTTTTCTTGGGTTTTGGCCCTTGAACATCATAATCATAACCCCAAAGTTGGTTTAGTAATGTGAGGCTTGCACTGCAGTTGCAGTTCATTAATACTACTCTCACCTAAATACCCGAAATCCTAAGGTTTCAGGCAATAAAGGAACATAATCCCCATATGTTCCCTTGTTCCCCACTAGCCCTAAACACTAGGGAATATAATCTTAATGTAACACCTATATATTCCCTACTAACCCCAATAACCCTGAACCCTAAACCCTGGGGAAGTCACGCCACCCCCCAAACCCCACCCTGGTTTCATATGTAATATCCCTATATAACCCTTACATTACTTACTAATTTCTAGTAAGTCATTGGGTTTTGGACATGCTGCGAGGCAGACCTGGCGACAGCGCCGGTCCCGGCCACTATGATGTGTCCCAGGACTGGGGAGAGATGGTAGTTTCCATGAATTGGGCGGCCCCAATATGGACACCCAAAATACTATTAAGGGTCTAGGGTTATGGGGTTTAGGTTTAGGGTGAATATTGGGAGACCCCGGGATCCAGCCTGGCAAGATGTTTTATGGAGCCGGAAGCATCCTTTTAGAATCCCAAGAGACTACTCAAATTGGTCTTCCTTCTTCAAATGAGGATCTCCCAACATATTTGGCTCCTCCTCAGAGGAATTGAAGGAAAAGCCTGATCATTTTGTTTAGTTCAAGGTAACCCCCATGTATCCCCATTATTTACTTACTTGCTCAGTCGCCATGACCTCGAGGTAAATGGTCCATAAGACCCTAGACCCACCCTCAAAACGCTACAACCCAAATAGTAGCTTGACTTTTCTTTTCCATCACCCCCCACAATATAATACGTACACAACGCCTATATATCCCATCCCTATATATTTCTGTATAATCCCTATAGAACCCCTAGTAAATCACATATATATATATATATACACACCCCATAGTATTTATAGTAATCCCTATATAGCCCATTCTGGTAGTTTCCATTTCCTTTTCCACCATCCCTAGTACTCCCAAACCCCTGGATCCATACCTTGGCAGGCCAGAGGCATAGGCCTTGGAGCTCGAGGGGGTCGGATTATGCCGCCCAGCACTCAGAAGCACCCATGAAAAGTTTAGGGTCTAGGGGTTCAGGTTTAGGCCTAGGGTGTTGGGGTTTTAGGGGTTTCTTGTCTAGGGGTTTTGGCTTCACGGAGAACAGAGATACAATGGATGATATAGCAGTTCGTCAAAATTAGGCTCCCTTTGTGGTATCCAACCCTTCATACTTCGGGTATGAGCAAGGGAGTATATGTTCGACAACCTCCTCGTAACGTATGTGCGACCTACAGTACGATGTTGACCAAGTTTCCAAAGCCCAAGAGTGTTAAAAAATAGTTCTCGTAGGCTTTGTATGAGAGATTCTCACCTTCCTGAAAGGTCATCGTAAAATCAGTAGGCAGGAGGCATGGAATCTCGCTAAGAGGGTATCATGCCTGGCCATGAACTCAGACGCCTAAGCCCCAAACCCCAAAAAGGGTGGGAGATGGTGGGAGTATCAGGCAATTATGTAAATATACTTGACATAGTTACTCCAGTGATCCTTATTATAAACCCGTTTGCCAAGTTTTCCCGACCCTCAAAATACTCTCTAAACCCTAAACCTTTCTTAATTTATCCTCCAAGCACCGCTAGTCAACTATATCCCTACAGACCCCTACATACATTTGTATACCTTTATATCCCTCGCCTGCGTCTATGTGTCAGTGCCCTGTCAGGCCCGCCTTCGATCCGGCGGCGAAGCCTTGCGAGACGCCGGGGCCCGGCCATTATGTAGCCAAGGCCTGCACCATCGGGATATGCATAGAGAGGCATGTAAGGGTATGTAGGGATTTGTAGCGGTACTAGAGTGGAGAGGTCCGGCGTTCCATAACCCCAAAATTGACTTCAACATACTCAAATCTGTATTGTAGAGATATTCTGTGAGAGGTCCTGCAGATATGTAGGGATTCCGCAGCTCCAAAATAGACCTCAACACGCCATCATCTTTGTTTTAGGAACTTCCCAAGAAGGGGCCTTCAACTTTTGAAACCTTTTTTTGTGGGTACCATATGGATTGTTGAGGGTCTTTGGAGATCAGGCAGGGGGTAGTGCTCCTGATGAGCTTTTAAAGGCAATGTGATGGTGTTTGAGCAGTCTGAAAGGCCTTTGGCAAGGAGAGTGAGAAGCCCATCTACTCCTCCTTTGCCTCGCAAGCAGAGCGCGAGCGAGTCTGCCCTGTTTGAAACGGTTAAAGATTCAATTGAATTTTAGGCCAGATCGAGCTGGTTCGCAGGTACATGGCTGGTTTCGCTTTGTAGTACATGTAGTATTTGAATCACTGGCCCTGCAGTCCCGCAGTGTCTACCATATCCCAAATGCTGCCGAGCCGGGGACTTATAGAGCTTGAGAATAGATCCTGGATTGAGGGGTGTAACACGAAGAACATCACATTCATGAACTTTGTAGGGTCTTGAAGGAGAGTCAGTTCGGACTTTGCTGAAGTCCTGTCATCACACCTTGAACAAGTTTGTTGATTTGGTCTTCATCTGTGCGAACGTCTTCTGGCAATGTAGTCCGCATACTTTTTTACGCGTTTGAACTCCAAGGCTGCATGTCACTTCTATACGTTAAATTACGCACACCTGACGCATACGGCAGTTCTCAAAAAAGCGGACCACCCTGAAGGAGCTGGTGAGCGGTTTTAAAGAATTACCGTACCCATAGACATGCAGTCATGCATTTCTTTCTTCTAGCTGTAGCTCGACAGTTGATTGAGGTAGCTGTGTCAAGATTTGCGCATTCTCTTGCGCCTGAGCTCTTCAATGACCTTTCTGCTAGTCCCACATCAAGCAATGCAAGGGTGAGCAGGCAGCAAGTAAAACAAATCAGCTGCTGGCAAGCTTGCTAACACACACACACACAGAAAATGGAGCTGAGAGCCGGCAGTAGCAAACAATTCCATCAAGCTTCAGGATCAGCAAGCATGTCTTTGCCTTGCCGAAAGTGAAGATGAGAAAGCTCTTGACTAATATTCAATTAAAAGCACAGAAAGCAAGCACCTTTTCATGTCCTCACTTCTTGAGAATGTCAACAGCATTAACACGATCGATTTGGCTCTTTTATTCTTGGTTTCAGCACCTAGGTAAAGCCTGCCTACATTGCAAATAGCACTCGTGATTCTAGCAGCATCTTCTGCGCTGAGGGGCTTCTGTCATGCTCTTTCCACACCTGCCAGTGCGAAGTCCGACAAGAAGGGCGTGGAGATGCCCGGCCCAGGGCAGTACTACTCCAGCAGGCACTCAGAGTCAAGGGTTAACGGTTTAGGATGGTTTAGGGATCAGCTCACGACGGCCAAACTTTACACAACCCTATAGAATCCCTATTTAACCCCTAGACCCTACATACCTGGAAGCCCTCCCCTGTCTATCAGGCCATCGAAGAGGCCAAATCTTCGGGAGCTACATCCGGTGCTGCTTGGCCTGCTTTTCAACAACATAGCGGAAGGAAGTCTAGGGACCCCGTTTCGGGTTCAGGGTTTAGGGTTTAGAGTTCAGGGACCCCGTTTCGGGTTCAGGGTTTAGGGTTTAGAGTTTAGGGTTCAGGGTTTAGGGTTCAGGGCTTATACAGGGATTCTATAGGGTTATGTATTGTGTGGGGATATTTCCCCCAAGATGGTGAATGAAATGGACCAGAAACTGGAAAACTAAATTGATGATTCCTTTAGAGGGATTCTACAGGAATATCTAGGCACATATCGGGCAGGGGCAGCATGAAAACTACTACATTGGGTTCAGGTTTAGGCTTAAGTTGGGGGCTTCTCAGAGTAAGGGGCCCTGAGCATATATAGGAATTATAAGAAGGTTATATGGCGGTTGATTGGGGAATATCTAGCTTCACGTTTTTTTTTTTTGTTTGGGTGCGAGGCCCCGCGCATGTGCAGAAACCTTAACCTTTAGTTTCTGCAGATGAAGCCAAGCTACAGCAGGCTCCCAGTACCTTAAACCCTAAACCCAAACCCCCTGCTCCTCCAACCATGGTATGGTCATTCCGCCTCCTTCGGACAGCGACTACTCTTACAACTACCGCCATCACTACTCCTACTGATATTGGTACGACGATGAGGGCTTGGTAGGCACACGCTGGGAAGCCATACCACAATCAGTACAGCCAGTAGGTCATGTATGAACAAACATGTATATCTTACACCCGAAAGAATGCGCACAAATGCATACCCTCCTGTCCCTCGCCAGGAGCTGCAGTACTTCGGCAGCACCTCGGAACGCTTCCCGGAGGCTCCAAGGTTTGAGGGTTTGGGGTTTTGTGTTTGCTTTTCTTATTGTTAAAGAGCTTAGTTGAAGTTGCCATGATACTCGCAGGTGCATCTGGTAAATAATAGTCTTTCTTTATAATGTTCTTTCTAGAGGAGTTTAGCCAGCCTCATGTTGTGTCCCTTGCACGCTTGGAGCTGTGTCCAACTTGGTGTTTGCACAATTCTTGTTCTTGTTTTTGAAAATCCAGCTGGGCATGACCATGAAATTTTCAAGCTACGCAACACTTCAGAAGTTCAAAGTAATTACACCCTTTGGTGATTCACCAAAGAACAAAATCGCAGCTCTTTGTTTTGCTGGCTGCTAGGGGGGAACGGAGGAGTTGACCCCAATATTACTTACTGGTGGGTAGTAGGGCATAAGGGAATACAATCCTCATATAGTCCCGGTAATATAATATACTATACTAACCCCAGCAAGATTCGCCCGTATGCAGCCTCCCGTACTGCAGCGTTTTCTATTCCTTTCTGCATTCCTTCACTCCTACTTACAACCAGCAAGTCACTAACCTTGTATATCCCCGAACCCCCACAAATCTCCTTGTTGTTCATTTGCTTTTCCGTTTGATTCTCAATTCCTTAACCCAGAACCTCTGTATACCCCTATATACCCGTGTATGCCCCTGTATGCCCCTGTATGCCCCTGTATGCCCCTGTATGCCCCTGTATGCCCCTGTATGCCTGGGTATACGCCTGTATACCTCTGCATGCCCAAAACCCTCAACCCTAAACCTTGCATCGCACCGCTCGAAAAAGTCCCAAACCATATATAGTCCGTATATATATATATATGTACTTATATACACATCACCTTGTACATCCCTAAATTATCCCTATGCAATCCCTAAATTACCCGTTTCTAATCCCTAAATTACCCTATGTAATCCCTAAATTTCCCTCATAGAATCCTTAATTTTCCCCTATATAATCCCTAAAGTACCCCTATATGATCCTTGAATTGCCCCAATATAACCCCTATATAACCCCAATGTAACCCCTACATAACCCCAAAATTACACTTATACAACCCCTACATAACCCTTACATAATCCCTTTGTAACCCCTATATAACCTTTAAATAACCCCTATAGAGCCCCGTAAGTTTCTGTGCAGGCTGAGGCCACTATCGTCGCCAGCCAGACCCCGGGCCCTGGCCAGTATGGCATGGCAGACTACCGGAAGAAGGCCTCCTGGAATAAAAGGATTCAGGGTTTAGGGAGTAAGGATTAGGGTTTAGGGACTAGGGTTTAAGGTCTTAGGGTTTAGGGATGAGGGTTCAGGATTTTGGGTTTGGGGATGTGGGGCTCAGGGTTCAGGATTGTAGGGTTTAGGGTGAAGGGCAACTGCAGTAATTTCGATTGCCACTTCTACTGATGTTACCTCTTCTTTTCTCCGCCAGTTTTACTGTCATGTTATTTGTTTCATTGATGTGAAAGATTTTGTTTGGCGACAGGCTGCGAAAAGCTTTGCCTGGTTGAACGGAAAGCGCTTCCAGGCACATTCAATTGGCGCATAGGGTTTAGGATGGTTTAGGGTTTAAGGTTTGACGGTTTTTGTGCTTCTGGTTGAGACTTCGAGGTTTAGAGTTTAGGGTTTGAGGTTCAGACTGTGGAGTTTAATGTCTAGGGAGGTTTGGGTAATTGATGCTTCGGGATCTCGAGTCCAAGGTTCAGGATTTACGTATCCACTCAGGGATTCGGATTCAAGGATTTCAATACTAAGGCTTGGAAACTCCAACTTAGGGATTGGGGTCTGCAGCCTAAGGTGTGACGCTGCTTAGCATTGGTAGTTGCCAATTAATGGCCATAGGAAGCGTGACAGCTGGAATCAGGTCGCAAGAAACCTGCAAATCGTATGGATAATACGAACAGCCAGCTTCCCCAGCAACGAATGGAGGAAGTACCGCTCCCAGGAGGATGCAGTTTTATTTGAATATGACTGAAGGTAGGTCTTGGGGGACCCCCCGCCACGTGGGAGCTGTTCTTGTTCCGTAAGCCGTATGCAAGGAATTCCCAGCTGTTGGGCAGGTTTTTTTGTTGAATCCTTTTGTCTGGAATCCGCCTTCGCTTCAGACATGATCAGCAAATGACAAAGTTATCGTTCAGATTGGGTATGAAGAGTTGCTGAAGCTTGTCGAGGCCTTCAGAAGCAACATTCAAGGTTGCGGAAGGCGCATTGGGTACCTGCTTCCTCTGCAAGCTGAAAGCCCTGATCCCCCTCCAAACTGGTTACACACCCCCAGGAGCCCAGCCTTCCTTGGGGTTTAGGGTTCATAGGGTTTAGGGTACCTGCAGGAGCATGGCCAAGTTGCCAAGAAAGTCCAAAATCCTGGACCTGGAGCCTATGACCCCAGCAGCCGGGGCCCATGCAAACGTTGCTTCAAGCATTTGTGTAGTCATCCTCAAGTAGAACTTTAGGTGTGTTTGAATCAAGTTATACAGAGAGTACACGCCTTTCTTCATGCCATCTCCTTGAGGGTGACTACAGCGTTTTTGTTTTACCATTTGAGTGCAGGGTGGCCGTGGTGTAATCTTTTGCTTGCAGATGTGTTCAACAAGAAATGTGTGGCAAGATCGGAAACAACTGCAATTGCAGTTGCGACTTGGACCGAGTCTGAGGCAGCGACGGCAAGACCAGCGGCAAGACTGGGACAGTCTCCATCCTGGGGAGCACCGGCAGCCTTGCCTTCGGTTCGCGTCCAAGAAGTTGTGCTCGTAAGAAATGGAATGATCGGTGGCAAAGACAGCGGTTTGGTCATGGTAGCAGTGGAAGCTAGACAGCCAAGACAGTAGCAAAAAAAGGGGCGGGAGACATGACATGGACGTAGGATGACGTAGGCTTTGAATCTGTTTTGCAAGCTATGAGCACCAGGTCTGGGCAACATGTGAGGTCAGCGATGTCAGCGCTCCGCTTTTGAGATCTTTTGAGCATTCTTCAAAAGACCTAGCTTTTACCGAATAACCGCCGCGCAATCTCTAGAAAACAACCCTTCCTGTTCAACGCCCTCAGGCAGCATGGAGGCCAGACGCGGCATAGCTGACCCGAAGAAGGGCCAGGACTCCTTGGCACACAATGCGGTCTAGGGTCTTGGGTTTTCGGGTCTAGGGTTGCAAAGGATTATGTAGGGTTGTGTAGGTTTCTTGATGATGTTACCCCAATTATAGAGAATCACACGGAAAGCAACATTGAACATGACATGGAAGCCGGGCTTAAAGCTTATGGTTAGCAATTCAGCCGAGACAAAAGCAGAAACGGACGCAAGGTTTCTGACGATAGCTTCTACGACATCTAATGTGGACGGGAGTTCGTTTTGGTGCGTGTCAAAGCCTTGGCTTCTTGTGTTGTAGGGAGCTACATGGGGAATATGTGCAATCAGAAAATGTTCTGGTAGAACTAGACTTTAGATTGCGCGCAGTTTGTAATTAAGCTATTGCAGTTTTCGAGACCGATGTGTTTGTGAACCTGACTCAAGGAATGTTTTTGCCACAGAGCAAGTTTGTGCCGGACGTTGCGACGGCTTGCTTTCTTCGAACGCCGTGTTTGGCAGGGCCATTCCTACTTGCTGCAAATCTTGAAGCCTGCGCCCTGAGGCCTCAATGCCAAAACGTTGAATAAGCACATCATCCTGAAAACCACCAATGCGGATAAGGTCGAGTCTTAAACACATAGGACACCTACTAGTTCAAGGTTCCTGATTATCCAGATGATTTGAAGCGTTACTCGGACCTATGATTCCATCGATGGACAAGGTGTCTCTTAGTTTCTGGCCTTGAGGGCAACTCTGTTTGTTTCACCTAAAATTTGTGTGGCAAGCTTCCTCAGACAAACTTCATAGAATGGGAAACCTGTACAGTCCTGAAGATCTCATATGAGAGTTCGTCGAAAATGTGGTTTCCGTTTGGATGCCCATTGCAACATGGGCCTTAATATTCAGGATGCGCAACGAGAAACCAAACTTTCATCAACCTCCACATGGGAAGTACCCACCTGTATTCATTCCGAGGACCCCCCACCCTGTACTAGTGGTATAATAGTACTATACGAGGACCCTAAGATAGTCTTTATTTTCCCTTATAGTCCTAATCTGAAGCCTTAACCCTAAAACCCTAAACCCTAAACCCTAATCCCTAAACCCTAAACCCTGAAACCCGGAACAAGTGCTCACAGTGGCCTACAAGCTTGTGGACCCCCAGGGTGACCTCACATGCCTTGGCACAGACGGCATTGCTGCCACGCCCATGGACACCGTAATGGAGGAATGAGAGGGAACACTAGATAAATCCGACCCCTAAGGGCAAAGAACTTCCCCAGCCTCGGCTTGCACAGAAAAGGTGCGAGGGGATGTCAAACAGAACCCTAAACCATAAACCCAAACCCTAAACCCTAAAACCCTAAAACCCTAAAACCCTAAAACCCTAAACCCTGAACCCTAAACCCATTTCCTGTATGGTGCAAAGGAGCCCGGCCCGGGTGCCTACTACGAAGGCGTCCCTGGCGAGGCAGGGGATCAAGGACTTTTATCTTTTTCAGTTTATTCCATGGGATTGTATGAGCTATAGTCTACACTCCTGCTAGGGGGTTGTATAGGGGATTATATAGAGAGTCTTATAGGGGTTAGTAAGGTGGATGCTCGGAGTTTAGACCATGGTTTATTTGGGGTTATATAAGGGTATTGGGAAGGAACATGGAAACTCCTGTATACTATTTAGGGTTAGGGGTTAGGGTTCTCCCTATGTTTACAGGCTTGTGCTGAAAATGCTGCGAATCTCGGGCTGTGGGGGGTTAGCTGCTGGAGGACTGGGTGGGGTTAAACATGCATATTATGTAGATTGTGAATGATATCACACCTCCTACCAATCTTGGCAGGTTGATGCTACCCACTGAGACGGCTTTAACGGGGTGATTATGCTTTAGCAGGTGACAACCCATTTTGAGACAAAACGGAAGCCTGAGAGCCCGACTTTCAATGACTTCGCATTTTGTGCCTGCCTGCGTACCGCTCATTGAGAAAATGCGCACGTCGTCCCTCTTGAATCTACTGTGCCCCTTAGGTAGATAGACTATGGGGTACATTGGGATCATCTTCTGGTTTAGATAATTCCATATTCTATCTACTTAAGGGGGCTGTAAGGCCTGGGCTTGGATCCCAGACCCTAAATCTGAATCCTTGAGTCTGTGCCGACGTGCTCACCTCCCAGAGCTTGAACAACACGCCAACTTGCTGACATGCGCAGGACAGCTGTAAGAGCCATAATCCTTCAGTAAGCCCTTGACTCCAAACCCCTCAACTCCCCCAAACCCCTTAATCTGAATATACTGTATGGTAGCTTCCATTTTCTTTTCCATTATCCCCTCTATAACCCCTATATAGCCTCAATACTATAGTAGTTTGCATTTTATTTTCCATTATTCCTCCATAACCCCTATTTTGGGAAACCTAAACCTGAACCCTAAACCTTAAACCCCTATATGACCCCCAAGAAACCCCTATATAACCCTGTATAACCCCCAAGGTAACGCCCCAAACCGCCAAACTCCCGATGCCTGCGAGTGCAGGGTGGTGCAGAGCGCGGGAGCGAGCCTAGGCGGGGCCACTTGTATTTAGGGATCATGGAAAAGAAAATGGAAACTACTATAATACGGTTTAGTGTTTAGGGATAATGGAAAACATAATGGAAACTACTATAATATAATAGGGATTATATAGGGGGTTATATTGGGATAAAGGGAAAAGAAGATGGCGACTATTATATTTTAATAGGGATTATATAGGGGGTTGTATTGGCATAATGGAAAATATTTGGGAAACTACTATTTAGGGTCTAGGGTTATGCGTGGATTGGCACCAGGTGGAGGTGAGGATTGGGATTTAAGTGGGATTATGTGTGTGTCGGAGCCTCGCTAGCCAGCAATTTGCCTTGAAATTCTGATTCTTCGTGAAAGCAATGGGTCCTTCTGAGGCTGCAGGACCTGCTTTGTCCAAAACGCAAGGTATGTGGGGCGGTTTCAATGGATAGGAGGTCTCAATGAAGATCCCAATATTCTAGAATCTCTCTTGTGGGGACTCCCCAAAATGGCTATGCAATTTTTGGACAACCCTGTTTAAGAACCTTGAGACCGCCAGATTTTGTCAAACACACCTAGCCGGAAATTGTCCTCCCCTCATTTCTTAGGGGGTTTACAGTTTAGGGCCCAGGGTTTAGGGTTTAGGGAGTAGTAGGCAGCAAAGTCATCTTGCCTTCAAGGATCGCGTGCCCTAAGCGGAATGGTTCTGTGGAATCCCTTCGTCATCCCGTCTTGCACAGATTCCGATAACCTTGCTGTGCAATTCCCTGGTGCTTACTCCGTGAACTTATTGCTATTATGATTCATCATAGTACTAGCAATATTATTCTGACTACTACTATTATTACTGCTACTTCATTATCACTACTACTACTACTACTACTGCTGCTGCTACTACTACTCCTCCTACTCCTCCTACTACTACTACTACTACTACTATGTCAAAGACCAACACTTCGGAAAGCTTGCAGGAGACCTCGCAAGGTCTTTCCACCGAGCTCCTTCTTTCGGTCTACTGTGCCCAAGGCTCCGGCCTGCTCCAGTTGAGCTCCAGTGTACACTCCTTAAAAGGGAATATAGGGGATCATGTACGGGAGTATTATAGGGGTTCTTAGGGGGGGACACTAGGAGCCTAGACTATAGCTGAGTTAGTTTTGGCCGAGGAAGCGTTCAGGGTGGGTGCTTGGGCTTTGACATGCGGTTACGGTTTTTGCTTCACGGCAGAGATTTGTGCCAAGACCGCACCCTTAGCGCCGTTTTGGGGTTTGCGCCTTCCAACCTTCATACGTCAGGCTGATGAGAATGTCAGTAATATCATTTGACAGAAGCATGACATGCAAACCATCATTTTGCATTTCATCCTAGCTGTTTTGCGACCCTACAATGCCCTGATTCTTCTTCGCCCTGCAGGCCTTGACATTTCGATTGCTTTCGGTGATGAATCCCTGAAACCCTAAGCGTGAAGCCAGCATCTCTAAACCCCTAAATTCTGAACCGTAAACCCCAAACCCTGAAACCCTTAAACCCAACCCTAAATA